AGTGCCGCTCCATGGGCTGAACTTTAACCCCGCCTAGAGTTTCCCTACACTGCACTATACATGCCTACTGTACGCGGGCGTTAAAGGCATAGCGCACCCTTTCCCGCTCCCGCGCCGGCCCGGCCGGGTGCCGCGAGCTGCCCGCGCGCCCGCCGCCGCCTCCGCTCTGCACCGCACCGCACAGCCGCGCCCGCTCGCGCCGCCGCCGGGGGAGGGGGTGCGTGGGGGAGGGGGCGGCTGCGGCGCCGCGCGGCCAGCCGGGTCCCCGAGGCTCGGCGGCCGCTGCGCCCGCTGCCTCGGCCGCTCGTGCGCCCGCTCCGGGTCGCCCCTCGGCTGGCTGGCTGGCTGCTGGCCCCCCGCCCCCTTGCCCGCTCCGCGCAGTGCTGGGTAGCGCAGTGAGGAGCGGTTACAGTCAGCCCCTGGCAGCTATAGGCTGCCACAGGATGTGCTTAAGCAAACAAAACTACTTTTCCTCGTCCCCATCCCCCCACCCGCGCCGCAGACCTTCGCGGACCTCGGTGGAGGAATCGGGCCCCTGGGCCAGGATGCCCTGCACCCCCCGGGCCACTGTGTGGGCACCGAGGGAACCGAGGAGGAGGCCCGGCTGCACATTTGCATGTATGCAAATTTCTTTGAAAATTCAGACCTCCTAGGTAACTTTTTTTCCCCCTCTGAAATGCGGTACGGCTCAAAGCATTGTAATCTCTCCAGCGAAGCTTTCTGTGGGAATAGATTCTTCGGCAGAGGTAATTACGCACAAAACCCTGCAAACTTTGTGCAGCTCCAGTCCTGTGGCACTGAGAAGCGGGGGTGGTGCGGCGTCATTTCACACCGCAGCTTCACCGGCGTGCGGGGTGGGGGGGGGGGGCGCGCTGGAGAAGGGAAGGCGGAGATTAACCGGGGGTTCTCCCCCCAACCCCCACGCCGGGACTGTGAGACCAATGGGTTTGAACACAGCCGCCATACACAAAGTTCTATCACGTTCAGAAACAACAGCGGTTTCGCGGTGACATCTTTTGGGGGGGGGGAGGAGGAGTAGAGTGGGGGCGGGGAGAATGTGAGAGGGATGTCTTCTGTGGTACGGGAGCTACTCTGATCCACGCGTGTATACCCAGAGCTGGAAGGGGGCTGGCCCGACCGACCCTGGTCTCGGGCACTGCTGGTACAGTGCCTTTTAAGAATCCCCCCCCTCTTTTTTCCCTCCCCCAGGTAATAGTTCTTAAAATGGAAAAGAACTTCCTGCAATTATTTTAGGTTTGCTAAAGTATTGTTTTGGCAAAAGGGGGGGGGTGGTTTTTAGGGTTTGGCAAGTTGCCAAAAAGCCTGCTTTTCCAGTTTTTTTTTTTAACCTCATATTTTCTCTCTAGTCTCTGCTCTCTCTCTTGCAAGAAGAAAAAGGCAGTGTATACCTGCCTCCTCTAAGCCCGTTTCCCATCTTTGCCTTCTCTTCTCCCTCGCTTTGGTTCTCAGCCTGCTGCATTTGCCAACCCTACTCAAAATTCCAGAAGCAAAGCGCAGGGTATCCCTGGCACACAGACAGGGCAGTCTCCTCCTTTGGAGCCAGGCTGAGAGGGACTGTGAAAAGAGGAGGTTCCTTAGGAGTGCCCACTAGGCAAATGAGGCCGAGGAGCGTGTTAAGGCCACTCTCATTCAGAGATACATAAATATGTTGTTAAGTAAGGGGAAGGAATCTGCTAACTGGAGAATGAGCAAAAATAAAATCCTCTGGAACGGTTCTGTATCTGTAAAATTATTTCATACTTTATTATTTTAGTGCTCAAATTATTCCCCAAAGGCAAAAAAAAAAAAAAAAAAGTTATTCCCACCCCAGAATTTCCTTGGAAATGTCTGATTATTTATTAAGGAGTGAAAGCAACTCATAAAATGAGAGAGTCCATTTTTCCAAACTAAACTGCTTTTTCCTAATTCCTCTTGGACTCCAGTAGGGCTGACATGTCCTACAAGCTAAGCCGAGTTACCGAGACAACATCCTGGCCACGAAAAGCTTTGCTGGGATCTCTAACTTCAAGGCGCTCCAAGTTTCCTCGACAGAAGTTTCTGGCTGACGGTCCCAGCATGTAACTGAGGCACAGCGAAGCGTTATTGTTCCGACTGTGTGCTCTTGGGAAGCTGTCTTCCAGAGCAGATGAAAATCTTTCTTTGCTGCATTCAAAGGTACACTCCACATCTGCCTCTTCTCAAAACAGCAAAGATTCTTACTTTTGATTCACAGGGGGGAAAATAATAAATAGAAGAACTGGCGCGTCGCCCTGTTTCCTTTTTTTTTTTTTTCTTTAAGCGAGGGTAAGTAATTTAATACTGATATTTCCAGTTTAAAAACGTCTTTTGTTGCAGCCGCGGATGTGCCCGCGATTTCCAGCTTTCTGCGGTTAGCAATATTATCTTAAGTAACTTTTGGCGCCCTGCGTAAGACTTTTGGATATGGGACGATTGTTTGCGCCCTCTAGGCAAGGGCTGGATCCAAGTTCAGCACTAAAGCCTTTCACATCCGCCCCAGCTTTCTCTCCTATCGCCGCCAGCTCCCGCTCCCTCCCCCGCGCGTGGGGGCTGGGGGGAGCAGGGAGGGCCGCGGCGGAGGCGGGGGGTGGAGGGGGAACACTCCAAGCTCGGTTCCAACTACGGCGTTTGGAAACAAGACTGAGAAAAATACAGTAGAAGAGTTACAGTTACAAAAAGGCTTCTGGTAACTTTCTCTCCAACAGGCATAAATTTAAACACACACAAAGAAACAGATGTTCCTCAAAGGGCATGCTGGGGGTAAAAAACATTTCCAACTCTCTCCCCTCTTCCCAACTGGCAAAAGTAAACCCTTGTGCAGCGTTCATAAAGATACCGAGACACTTGAGAGAGAGCCGGAGTGAGTGAGCAGGGGATGGAGGGGAGGGGGAAAGAAAGAACGCGGAGCTGTGCAGGAAGCGCAGGTGAAGTAGGAAAACTAGTTTATTGCAATCATATAAATGACCCATTGTTAGGAAGGAGAAACCCCTTATTGGAAATAACCGCTCCAATCATTTATTTTGCAAGTGGTAGGAGGCTGCCTTGAAATGGGATTGTCTGCGCTAAGGAGGCTCCTGCCATGCTCTCCACTATCCATATTCTTCCTGGCACGGAGCCCAGCCTTGCATTTACTGCGTTTTATTTGCAGGAACACTACCTTGCCAGCTTTAGTGAAATCCTCTTAGATATATAAATTACGTCAATAAAGTTTCACTTATGTGTACATCTCAAATACCTCTCATTTTGGAGGTTACTTAATAGGGAGATGGTATTAATATGTTTTAGATTTTAATGCCCAAAGCAGTGACGATAGGACTGGGATGCCTAAGTGACAACACCATTAACTATAATTCTTATCAAGACTAACTTTATTAACCAGCATTCTCCAGCCTCCTTCACTAGCTTTCCACTTGCAGATTTGTCTTATATACATATAATGTTCAATTGATTAATGTTGCTGAGCCGTGGCTGTGAATTCTTACCAGATTTTATTAAGAGGCCTACAGCCTTGAGAACTGCTCGATGAGAATTTGGTTTTAAAAAAAAAAAAGTGGGGGTCGATACATATTTTTTGTATTTTTTCTTATACTGACTTCCCAAACTCACTACAGTCCCACAATCCAGGGCAGAGGTAAGCCACTTATTGGCCACAGAACTGGGTGTCCACTCTATTCAGGGAGTAGGACAAAGTGGATACATTTCAGTCAGAGGTTGCCAGTTCCTGTCTCCAAGACAAGCTACTGCAGTTGGTTTCCTTTGGATTGGTGTCAAGGACCTGCACCAGCGCCCAGACTCCAGCTGACAGTGGAAGGAGTCAGCAGGGGCTGCTGTGGTAACAAGAAGAAATGTCAAGTTGGCCAGTCTTAATATCCTATTTGCTACTGACCATACAAGCAGCAGAAACCAAGGAAAAGGCTCCCTGCCCCATCTCTGTCCTTTCAGATCTATGAAACGGCTGTTGGCCCACCTGTGAAACTCCCTGTCTGCCTTAAAATTGTTTAGAGTTCCAGAGAGGATAGCCCAATCCTTGTAAGCACTCCAAATACCAAAGCTTCTGAGACAATCTGAGTGCGAAGTGTTGCAATGCTGAGTATGCAACATATTACTTCCCAAAGCTTCACTGCAAGTCCCACTGCTCAGAGAGACTGCACTCACACGCGGCTTAAATCTCACTTTCCACCACAGTCACCAACTTCCCTTAGTTTATAAAGCATAACTAGTGCAAAGCCTCTCTCTAGTAAGACTGGTCTTTTCCCAAAAGACAAAGAAGGCGTACAATCCATGCATGAAACTCCTCAGTCAGCTTTTCTTTTCTTTTTTCTTTTTTTCTTAAACCTGAAAACTTTGTCCTATTGTGCTTGCTAAATCCGGAAGAGCCCGTAGCTTCGACAGCTTGAAACACACCACCATCCCCTTCAGAGCCGCAGACAACTTCCAGACCTCTGCTCCGCCCCTTCTGGCTACTGTGAAACACTGTACAGTCAAGCCCGCTCGTGATTGGAGGAAGCTTTTGTCAATCTCCCAGGTGGTCCCATTGATTAGAGGATCGAATCGTCAATTATTCGCCGGGTCCAGACATTGCTTTTCGGGTTAGGTTGACTGCTGAGGCCAGGCGTCTTTTACAGAACAGAGCACGTACAGGATCCCACTCCCTACCCCCCACCCCTTTCTGGAACCGAGCAAGCGCTAAGAGGAAAAAAAAATCTGTCAAGCTCAGCAATTTTTTCAAATCCCGAAAAAAAAAAAAAAAAAGGAAACCCAGTCTCTTGATGCACATAGCACAAAACGCCATCCACAAAGCTTCATCTTTAAAACAAAACCATCACAATAGACATTTACCCAGCAATCACTTAAAGTGCAAAAGCGAACGAGAGAAAATTTTAAAGTCTTAGTCATTAAGCAAAATCATTCAGCCATTATTGTTGCTTATAAAACACATATCGTATAAATGCAAAATAGAAAGTTTAAGATGTACCACGTACCATTGCAATGTAAAAAGAGTACGTGAGAAACTTTAAAGTGTTCTGACGAATTGCTTCATTTGTTGTCCCCCCCCCTTTTTTTTTTTGCATTAAAAAAGAAAATTAAACTTGGAACCGTTGAAAACCCGGAAGAGATTTTTTTAAAGCTGTTGGCCAATTGCAGGCTTCTTGGAGATTTTTTTTTAAACTCCAAATCAGAAGGCTTTTGCAATTGCAGTGCGCATTCTCTCCCTCTCCCTTTCTCACTGTCTCTGCTCGCTCTCTCTTTCTCTCTCCCCCCCCTCCCTCCCTCTCTCTCCCCCTCCCCCCCCCCCGACCCCCTCCTCTTTTGAAAGCGATCCAACCCGTTGCAGGCTGCTTCTCGAGTCTCTCTGCCTTTGCCTGGTGTGCTTTGGATTGTACGAGACTTTGAAGAAGTTGCAATCGACAGTCCCTCTCACGGCTCCCTACCCCCTTGTTTATTTCCGCAATCGCTGCAATTTGCATAGTAACTGCGCTGGGGGCGGCTGCCGGCCGAGGGGGCCCGGAGGGGGCCGGGGAAAGGCCTCTCCTCGCCTCGCCAGTCTCCTCCTCCCCACGGCGCGTGGCCAATAGGAGCCCCTGCATTCAGCGCAGGCTCCGGTCGGGACGGCGTTGGCGAGAAAAGCCCCTGCGTTGCTAGGCCCCGCTCGTGGGATCGCCGCTTTGGCGCAGTGGAGGGGCCCCGGCTTGCGGACCTCGCTGCAGCCGCTGGAGAAGCGAGTCACCTTTGCCTGCGGCGGTGTGGCTTTTGCGCGTTTGAATCCATTCCTGCTTTCTCCATGTCTCTTTCCAGAGCCTCTCGTGAGTTATTAGGCTAGTTCAGGATGGTCAGAGAGAGATTTAACCTTTATTTGCACTAGCGTAGACTGAGAGGTAAAGAGCCTCCTTGGTGCATTAAATCAGGAGTGCAGGATGTCATAGGGAACTTGCAGAGAAATAACGCGTCTGCCCTAGGCTAGGAAAGGAAAACACGGCAACTGCTTCTCAGTAGATGACTGACCATGAAACTGCTCCGTGGGTTCCTTCCAGAGTTAAGCTGGCCCTTTAAGGCAGGCCAGTGATTGAAATGGGAATTTAATTGCCAAGCATCTAATTTGTCAATAGCCTTACAAAACCTGGGTTCCTCACTAAAACCAGCCTTCTCTCTCATAACTCCCCCCTCCCCCCAAGAGGAGAGCTGAAGAGTTTTGACATTTCTATTGGGGTTTTTAAACAATAATTGGTGGTATATTGAGTTCATCTCATTGAGTCATCATGTTTCATGAAGCCAGAATTTCTCTAAGCCCGTGTCATTGGGATATTTCAATGTCAACATTTTGTGTTTGTGTTCAACAGCAAAATAGCCATGGTTTGGAGGAGGAATAGAGGGGATAGACTGGAAGGACATACTATCTCCTTAAATTGCAGGCATCACAATCAAGCTATTGCATTTTCTGTTGTTTTAAAATGTTTGTTTTATGTTAGTTAAGTGTCTTAGAACATTTTGCCAAAACACTGAGTTACAAGACAATGTATGCAGAGCTTTCCTGTTAAAAATTATCCAGTAAGAAATCAAGAGGAACAGGAAGCAGGCTGGTGGCTGTAGATTTTCTTAACTGTTCTTGGTGAAGCTCCTGGGTTCATTGCTAAAGGACCTTGTACAATTAAACTGAAGGTTTCTTTTGAATCACATTTTAAACTTTAGTCTTGCTCCTTATAACTAGTACTGCGATGCGACATTGCTAGGAGGAACTGTACTATGTTGGACAAGCTTTGATGCTCTGGCCTGCCTCTTAAGAGATTCCAATATTCTCCCTCTTATAGTCCTCTGGAAAGCCTGTGGCGCTTTTTAAGTGAAATTCTTTTTTAAAAATTAAAGGGTTACCACTATTATTTTTTATAAGCGTTATCTAAAAGGCAGAGTGACAGTGAGAGAGACAGTCTTCTAACTTTGGTTTGATGCCACAAACACTTGTAACAGCTAGGGCTGGACCAGGCCAACACCAGGAGTCTCAGCCTCCATCCAAGCCTCTGACATTGGTGACAAGGGCCCAAGCACTTGAGCTGTCATCTGCTGCCTCCCAGGACGTATCAGCAGGAAACTGGGTCTGAAATGGAGTTGCCAGGACTCCCTTTGGCATGCAGGGCTTCCTTATGCTGTCCAACAAACATCCCACACAGCAGTTTAATCTTTTGAGCTCCAAATCCCATTTCTAACATTTTTATTAGTTGCAGTTATTTCAAAGAGAGAAAGAAAATAGTTTTCATCCACTGGTTCACTGCCCAAATGCCCACAACACCCAAGGGTGGACAAGATCAAGTTGGCTAATAGTCAACTCAGGGCAGGTCTCTTAGCTGGTGTCAGAGACCCAAGAACTTGAGCCATGACCTGCTGTTTCCCAAGGTGCACAACAACAGCGGGAACAGAGGGCTGAACTAAGATTCAAACCCCAAGCAGTCCAGTACTGGACACAGGTGTCCCAAGTGGTAGGAAACGTCTGCCCAAGCCTGTGACGTTGAAGCCTGACTTCTTTTACTGAGAAACCATTTATTTGTGGCATAAACTGGAGGGAAAATATATAAATAAAAAATAATAATAATTTATTTTAAGTAGCCAGAAATGTTCTGGGACCGAAGTGACTGCCCAACAGGCTAATCCTCAGCCTTGCAATGCCACCATCCCGAATGGTCGCTGGTTCCTGCTATGGTTGCTCCACTTCTTATCCAATTCTGCTTGTGGTCTGGGAAAGCAATGGAGGATGGCTGAAGTGCTTGGGTTCCTGTTCCCACCCATTTGAGTACCTACCTCCTGGCTTACCTCCTGGCCAGCTCTGCTCTGGCCATTGAAGTCATTTGGGGAATGAACCAGCAGATGGAAGATCCATTCTCCCCCTCTTTCCTTCTTTCTGTAAATCTGCCTTTCAGGTAACAAATAAGCAAATAATTGTTTGTTCTGGGACTTGCTGAGATAGTACACTACTGTAAGGATTGAGGGCTGTTAAGAAGCTAAAAGTCTTTGAAATGTGCAAGGAGTATCAGTTTCTACTGCATTCCTGCCACATCTACCCTGCGTGGTGACAGGGATGACTCAGGTTCTTGAGTCCATGCTACCCTTAGCAGGAGACCCAGACTGAGTTCCTGCGTCCTGTTTTGAGCCTCTTCAGGTCCTTGGTGTTACAGGCATTTGGAGAATAAACCACAAGATGTAAACTTCCCATTTTCACCCCTATCCCCACCCCTGGGCACTCCTGATGTTGTTGTTGTTTTTAATAGAATATTAAAAAAAAAAAAACTTAAAAAAAAATAGGGAAACAATATCTCTGCCTGCCAAAAACTGTAAGTACAATGTAAGTGACAAAATCCCAAAATCAATAATGTCATATAATATGACCAAATCAATTTTTGTGTATACAAAGGCAGTAGTGATTCTTTGACTGATTTTTTCCTGGAGGTGATAGAGTTAGGATGCCTATCAGAAGAGGAAATGACATTTTGGGGGCCAAAAGCATGCGTTTTTCAGCAGATAAAGGAAGGCACGGATGTTCCTGTCCAGAAAGGCACCATGATGTCATTGACCCAATAGACCTGAGACGCTCCCTTGACCCAATAGTGTCTAATCGCTGGTGGCTAGTTACCAACCTAGAATAGGCTTTCATTAAGCCAACTAATGATGACATTAAAAAGGAAGGCTGAGGGAAGGTGGTGTGCAACCTTTGAAGCCATTGGAACTTGCATTTGAGGGAATGGGGAGCCTTCAAGGATATGTGAGGAAAAGGTATGCCCGTACAAAGTGAGATCTGCAGATTGGAAAGATCTTCTAGTAATGGAGCAAAGGCGCCTGTAGGAAAAAGGTAAGAGAAGATGAAGTCCAAGGCTGCAGCACAGCCGGAATGAGCCAAACAGAGGGAAGAGCTGAGTGTGAGAAAAAGTGAGGAAACAAAAGAGAACAAACATTGCTGTAAGCTTTTAGACATTTTGATAAACAGGAACAATTTGGGAGCAAAAATGTTTTTTAAGATTTTATTTATTTTTATTGGAAAAGCAGATTTACAGAGAAAAGGAGAGCTAGAAAGGCCTTCCACTAACATTGATTCACTCCGCAAATGGCCGCAATGGCCAACCCCGGAGCTGAGCTAATTCTAAGGTAGAAGCCAAGAGCTTCTTCTGAGTCTCCCAGGTGGGTGCAGGGTCCCAAAGCTTTGGACCACCCTCTACTGCTTTCCCAGTTCACAAGCAGGGAGCTGGATGTGAAATGAAGCAGCTGGGACATGAACAGCCGCCCCTATTTGATTCTGGCACTTTCAAGGCAAGAGTTTTAGCAGCAGAGACAGCCAGAGTGGTGTTCCAGGGACCAGATACCCCAGGAACAGTCAGCAAATAATGATCTGAGCTTCACCAGCTGCCAGAGCTCCCCTGTAGCCAGGTGGGAAGGGGAGCTCACTGGGAGCTCAGGAAGTGAACACAGGCAAAGAATTGCCTGTTCTGCTGATTTATTTGATCCCACCAGGAACAGAGACAGAGCAGCAGGGCAGGAACAGTGTGGATTTCACAGTCCAGATCCCTCGCCAGTGCCACACTGGGACCATTCTGTGTAGTGAGGCAAAGGCTCTGGAACTGGGAGGACAACAGCAAGCTGTGCATTTCTGGCTAAATGCATTGCACTGGTCCCACAGGGAAAACAGTACCAGTGTGGTACCCTACAGGTAGCCCCCAGACCTAGTGGTTAGCAGATGCAGAACTCCACCATTGCCACATCAGGTGCCATTTTGTACAAAGTGGCAGACTGTGGGATTGAAGGGACAATAGCGAGCTGCTCATGCACTAAGCTGGGAGCAAACCCACTTCCAGCTCAGTGCATTGTGCTGGCCCCACAGGGAAAATTTGGCACCCTATAGATCCTAAATAATATGGTTCAGATCTAATGTCCAGCAGGTTCCAGTAAGATCAGCACCTCCAACAACCCAGCTATTTAGGACACCTGGTGTCTCCCTAATCCTGGGGACTGCTTAAATCAGAAGTAGGAGAAATGTTATATAGGCAATGCTGCAGCCACAGCACAGGATTACAGGAGTTGAAGAGTGGTAAGCCATTAACTGTGGCTTTGGAGACTGTTGGAAACCTAACAAGAATCCAGACTGAGGGCCTGGTACAGTGGCCTAGCAGCTAAACTCTTTGCCTTGAACACACCAGGATCCCATATGGGCACCGGTTCTAATCCCAGCAGCCCTGCTTCCCATCCAGCTCCCTGCTTGTGGCCTGGAAACACAGTAGAAGACAGCCCAAAGCCTTGGGACCCTGCACCAGTGTGGGAGACCCAGAAGAAGCTCCTGGCTCCTGGTTTTGGATTGGCTCATCTGTGATCATTGTGGCCACTTGGGGAGTGAATCATCAGACAGATCTTT